TATTTTATAATTCGTCAATTAGTTTTTCCAAAAAATAAATAGTTTAAACAAAAAACGTTTGGTTCCATACTTTTTATTTACCTGGTATAATTATTATCCAGTGGTAAAATATGGAGACTCAAATTAAGAGAAATTGTATGATGAGGGAAAATGGCTTATTTGTCGGCTTCTTTGGTGTTAGTGTTAAATAATATAAATGTTAATACAAAAAGTTGTTTTACTTGTCTTTTTAGCTAAAAACAATATCAAAGTTTGCATAATTTTTGAAATTTTGAAAAATTAAACACCTGTAAAATCACATCTAAATACTAGCTCAATCAACAAATAAATCGTAAAAAGCATAGTCGAGAAAAAAATTTTTGACTTTAGGGCTGTTAAAAAATTGAGCAGGTGGCGGGGAGGCACCAAGAAGGTGGGTGTCCTTTTATGCTTTTTCATATCACAAAAAGTAAGTGTTACAAAAAAATAATAAAGCTTAAAGCATAAAATTAAAGCTCATAAAATTTCCTACAACATAGTCTTTGCGTTTTTTTTGTATCTCAAATAGTTTTCAAAATATTTGCTAACAAATATCGCACTTTATTTGCAAATTACACTAAAAAAATATTAATGAATTAACGTAAGGATTATTGTAAAAGTTGTAAGCATTGTGATTGGGCTGTTTAAGGTCGGCCATTATAATAATGTAAAAAACCAATCACGATAGATTTTTGTATTCATTCAAAAAATTTAGTACACTGATGTGATTGGTCCGTTTTAAGTCGGCCATTATAATAAACGTGAGAAAGCCAATCACTTTAGACTTTCGATTAATTCAAAAATAGTGTGCAATCATTCATAAAAATAATTGCAATTTAATGAAAATCTCGAAAATCTTGTGGCGTGTGCATTTCTTGGTTAGGAATTAAAACGTTAACAGAAATAGGACCCATTGTGCTTACACAAACACAACATAAATCCGAAAGTAAAAAATTTACTTAAAATTTGAGTAATTTTCATGCAAGAAGCACATAACCTCACTTACTTTTTGGGACCACTTGCGAAGACTGTTTTCCAACATTCCGATACGTCATGATGCCTCCACCACTTTTGACACGAGACATAACCCCAATTTTCGAGGCAATAAACGTCTTTCATTATTGAACCGTTTTCGATGCGTGTAACGATTGAAGGGAGTTTCCAACTAACCAGAGAAGCTACCCATCAGTCTGTTTCATATCTATTAACTATTACACTAGGTGCAAGGTATGCATGTACACCCGGGGAAAAAACTATTCACAAATCTAACTTTGTACTCGGGCTGCGCTTTGTTGCAATAGCGTTTCAGACTAACTAGTTAGAGAGCAGGTAATATGTCGAAAAACCCTTATTTAGGAAGTTGGTCCGGACCCGAAAAATGTCTTTTTGTGAAAATTACTTCAATGAGCATAGATTATAACGTATACATTAAATTGTGATTATAATTAACAAGCTTGCTCAAATTATCAAATTACAAATAAATTAATTTATTTAAAAAATGTATTTTGCAAGTATACAGTATGTTCCCGGATTAAGTTTACAAGAGGAAAAAAATTTTTACCTTTGATTTTACGCCAAAACTGCAAAGGAAAAACATTTTTAGCTTGACTTGACTTTTAAGGTTCTTTATCTTCAGCTTTCAAAAATCAAGATTGTAGAACTAGTTTTAAATGCCAGAATTTTTTAATAAACTGTGAATTTTGCCAATTTTTATCAAGTTATTTCTTTATAATCAAAATTCTGAACTTAATAATACATTTTATAATAACCAGTCAAAAGGAAACAAATTTTTACCTGTAATTTTACGCCAAAAAAGCAAAGGAAATACTTTTTTTATATATTTATATAGGCTGCGCCAGAACTCGCGCCCCAGAGAAAAATGCTATATAAGGTAAGACACCAGGAACATGGAAAAAATAATAAAAAAAATTTATCAATAAAAATTTCGAAGTTATGAGGGCTTCAAGTTTGCACTTTGACTATCCATTTCTGTTGGAAAAATAATTTTCCAAGATTTTTTGCTATTCCTAGGCTATTAAAAGAGGAAACAAGGAAGCTGTATCCTAAATTGTAACTCTTTTCAATGTTATTTGTGGCTTTTATTGACAAAATTTTTGTCCCTTTACTAAGTAATTGTAAAAAAACATATACAAGATCATCAGTATCATTAAATAGATATAAAAAAATGTCAAAAAATAAATGTCAAAATTTTTTGAACATTTTTTTCATGTTCTTGGTATCTTACCTACTTGAAAATTCTCTCTGGGGCGCACCCAGTATAGTGTGACGTGATAGAAAAATTTAACAATTATTTTTGTTTAATTAAAGGTAAGTTAACATAAAAATAATAATTCGATTAAAGGTACATATTACCTGCTCCTCAACGTTAGTCGGAAACACTATTGCAACAAAGCGCAGTATGAGCAGAAAATTAGACTGGTGAATAGTTTTTTCCCCGGGTGTACCTACTTACAAGAAATTTAAAAAAATCTTAGAGGACTTTAAGGCACCAAAACCTCTCCAAGGGAGAAGTTCGTTTTTAGCCAATTGAGCAACATTGCTAGAAATGGACAATCTGACGTTCTACCTCGCACATACATAGGGCCGCCTTCAGAATATCCTCTTATTTGAGACGTTTAGGTAACAAACGTGCTAAATATGCATTTTCTCTAGACTTCCTTTTACACATACCTACATAAAAAAATATTTAAAAAAAATTAGAATTAATTGTAATTATATAATTACACAAAAAAATTATAAGCTTTTTGTCCATTTTTTTGGCGGGAAACCATAAAACGGTAACTTATTTATGGTGTTCTCCTGCATCCCACTCCCGGGGGAGACTTTTAATAGCTCTGAGGTCAAAAATTCATTAATTGGTACCTACATAAAATAGCTTACTTTTTTCCATAAAATTCTTCATGATGTTAGAATTTATTCTATTAATAATAATCGACTTGATCAATATCATGTTACAAGAAACACGCTGTTAGATTTTCGTTTTATTGTTTTTTTTTAATACGAATTTATTTCAGCAACCAATTCAGTAAAAATAATTACAATACATAATTTCATTGGTTAATTTTGAAATAATAATAAAACTGTGTCGAATCGTACTAAACAATTAAATCTTAATTACGAAATAATCTTAGAAGAATAAAAAATAATATCGTTAAACATGCAATTATAAACGATATTTAATTAGAATAAAATAATAACTCAATAATTGTTTGAAATCATATATTAAAAATTTTAATTAAAAAAGAGTAAAGAATTCAAATCAAATTTAGTTGTGTGGTGGCTATTTTGAAATCATGTCTGGGCTAATTCAAGTTGGACCCTCTGATGTAATAAATCTACCTTCCAAAGCCATTGGTGTAATTTTTCATGACAGACTGAAAAAGTGGAATTCGGGGAAAACACTATTGGTATTTATTTTTTTCCTACAACTTATAGTATGTTACTCATACCAAAAAAATTAGACCGACACTGCAACTGGCGAAGTTGTGAATTATGGAACCTTTTCCAAACTCTCAATAAAACTGGCTCAAGAGCTTCAAAACATCGGAATAAAACAGGGAGACGTGTTAACTATAATATCACAAAATCATTGGAAATACTTACTGACACTAATCGCTGGATTTTATGTTGGAGCAAAAGTAAATCTCCTAAATCATGACTACACTTCAGGTAGATCCAAATAAAAAATTTCTCTTTTAATTAACTTTTCAGGAGAACTAAAACATATCATGTCGACGTGTCAACCAAAAGTGGTATTTTCTACCCATAAGTCTTTGCAAACTCTTCTCGAATTAAAAAACGAAGATTTTTTCCCCTCAAAAATATATATTTATGATGCCCCAACTTCCGACTATGGTGTCAATTTTAATAACCTTATTGAGAACGCAAATGACAGTGAAAATTTTTGTCCTGTTGAAGCAAATCTGGACGACGTTGCTTTAATTTTGACATCTTCAGGCACCACCGGATTTCCAAAATGCGTCCAATTAACCCATGCCAACCTACGCTACACCATGACTTTCATGGCAGACCCAAACTTGATAGATTTTAATGAAAACGAGTCCACTATTGCCTTTTTGCCATTTTTTCACATTTTTGGTTTCGGCGTCGGAGCTGGGTGTGTTCTCCTAGGAGTCGAATTTGTGATTCTTGAGAAATTCGTTCCTGACTTGTTCCTAAAAACGATTCAGGATTACAAAATTACCAAACTTTTCGGAGTTCCCCCAGTTTTTCATTTTTTGATCAAAAGTCCCATGGTGCAAGACTACGATATTTCTTCAATGAGAGATGTTTTATGTGGAGCTTCAGTTCTTAGTAAAGAAATAGAAGAAATGGTGGTGAAAAAATTAAATGTGGTGTCGGTGCGGCAAGGTTATGGCATGACTGAAGCTTCGGGTGCTATTACTCTGATTCCAAAAAATGTCAAAAAATATGGCTCTTTGGGAAAACCTGCTACTGGTGTTTTGATTAAAGTTTGCCACACTGAAACTGGTGAGGTACTTCCCGCGAATTCTGTAGGAGAGATAAGATTTAAGAGTGACGGAGAAATGAAGGGGTATTTGGGAAGTGATGAGGAAACTAAACAAGCCTTTGACGGAGAAGGATTTATGAAAACTGGTGATTTGGGGTATTATGATGACGATGGTTTTTTTTACATAGTAGGAAGATTAAAAGAGATAATAAAATATAAAGGATTTCAGGTATTGTAGAAGATATTGTTCATTTATAACAAATGTATTTTTTTAGGTTTCTCCAGCTGAGTTAGAAAATATTTTATTGCAACATCCAGACGTTAAAGATGTTGGTGTTGTTGGCAAGCCTGATGACCGAGCAGGGGAAGTACCCGTTGCTCTAGTTGTAAAACAAGAAGATAAAAATGTTACAGAAGAAGAACTTGTGCAACATGTTGAAAGTAAAATATTAAAAATAAAAATCATTATATTATTCCCTGCTAGAAAATGTTTCAGTCCAAAAACGGCTTTATGGAGGAGTTAAATTTGTCGAAGAAATTCCCAAAAATTCGAGTGGTAAAGTACTACGTCCCAAATTGAAGGAATTATTGTAATAATACATTCAAAATAAAATATTTCTGTCTAATAATGAGTATATTACATTATTTTAAAAATAGCATTATTTTAATTATGTAGAATTTACTGATTTGCAATATTGTTGAATCAATATCCAGAAATTTGCAACTGAGATAAAAATAAAAAAGACTGTATAAAAATAAATTGTTGTATTGTTGGTCGCAGACTTAAATAATAACAATATGAATCTATAAAACGACTTTTTTACGGACTATTTTGTCATTTCAGAAACAATAATTAATTAAACCTGGAATAAAATCTACTTCTATTAAATTAAGCCTTGAGAAATACAAGAATAAAAAAGATAGATACCTATATGTATGAGAAATGTTAAATTTTTTACTTTCTGACTCTATATTAGCTTTTAGAATCTCAGGCTACTCTGATCGGATAGGTATTTAATTAAAGACACTGCAGTAAAAAGTCTTGTTTCCCTTGGGGTCAAGTAGAAAACTCTCCTACACATAAAATAGTCAACAGATGTTTAACACTGAAATATTTCGAAAACAAAAATGCTGACCACATTTCCATTAAAAATTATACTTATTTATTTATTAAAACCATAATCGTAAATAATACCTATCGTGTTTAAAGAAGGAAAGAAGTTATGGTAATTTGCGAAAGGAAGAAAGGTACAAACAACATCCATACTGGTAATTTTTTAACCACTGTGTATTGATTTATTGCCTTTTATATATGCCAGAATTAACACTTCCGTTAGCTATATGGAGACACTATTGCAAATTTTGAAAAAAAAAAAACATTAATAAAAGGATTTGCACAAAAAGTAGTTTCATAAATCTCACTTCCTTTTTTTTAAGAGAATAAAAAGAGTGTTTTAGCAAACTAGGATATATCTTATATTAATGAAGGTTTTGCTATTTTAATTTATGTTGGATGTATTTTTATATTTCAAGTTGAATTTATTTCTCACGTAGTTCTATATAATTTAACACTAAATTCAGACATACTCGTATCTTCAATCTCGAATTCAGGAAAATTCATGAAAGTCTCCAGAATTGTTAAATAATCTTTTTTGCAATTGTCGATTTAAGATCTATTATAAATTGAAAATAACTGGTGAACCACCTTTAAACCAAGTCACATAGAAATCTTGTAAATCCTGAAATATAAATCTGCCCACATTGTAACTAGATCAACTACCACCTTCCAACGGTATTTTAATCAACATATATCAAGATAAGAAATTATAACCCAAAAATGTTAATTTGATAGTTCCGGCCCTCATAAATCACAGCAAGAATCTCCTTCGGAATCTTCTTAATCCAATCACTCCCAACACGCACTATATCAAATCTAATGGCGATAATATTAAAATTAACTTGCGTTAAGAGTTGCAAGAAGTTCAAGTTTGCGACCCCAACCTTCGTTGCGATTTTTCCGATGATCGGTGAAAAAATTGTTCCACCATCTGCGTCAGAAATGAATGAAAGTGTCCTGGTTGCTTCTTGAGTACACCTCTCGTTGGCCAGTTCTCGCATTCTCTTCAGTAGCGGCGGCTGTGCAACTTCTTCGACACTTCCGGAGTGTAAGCGTGCGAAAATACGCGCGATGTCTGAGTACTTTATACTGCGACTTTTGAAAATTTGAAAATAGTGAGTGAAAGTGGCGTGGCTGTTGTAACAGGAAATTTCGGCCCGTTGATGTAAAATGTGAGTCAAAATCATCAGTCGTCAAGTTCATTTTCTTTTGTTTTTAACGTAAATTTTAAAATAGATACATATTTATTACCTAGTGAGTGCTTGCAACAAGAAGGATTAGCTCCTTGTTTGGTTTCTACTTGATTTACAGTAGCATTCTTGAAAATTGTTAAGAAAAAAAAACATTGCTACAACAAGATAAGTGTCATTTTGACATTTCCATTTTACCGTTTATATCAAAATAACAAACGAATGAAGTTTTAATTGAACACTCGGTATTTCTGTTTAAAATCCAAATTGGGTATAGATGGAAATTAGACTTAGTGACAATTGTCTCATTATATTCACTATATCAAAAATTTATAAAAAGTGATTTCCAATAATTTATACTTAGTGTTTTTTTTTGTAATACAATTGCGGACACGCAATTTTGGGCATCAAATTTATGTCAGTTTAAAAAATATAAATTTAAGCCACGCTTTATTGTCATTGTCATTATGAATGACATTTGAAATTAAAATTTGAAAGTTTTAATTGTAATTTATTTTTTGAAGTCGATTTTCTGAAACAATAATTCCAGCAGTACGTATTATTAAACAGTGTTCAAAAAATCACGCACTTCTTTGAAAGGGAGTAATTGGGTGGTCCCCCAAAGTACTGAAAAAATGTTTAAAAAATTCTGTCTGTCAAAAAATTTTGACATTTATTTTTTGACATTTGACATTTTTTTAAGTCTATTCTGATGATCTCGTATATAATTATATATTTAGTAAGAGTACAAACAATACAAACAATAAAAGCCACAAATACCATTAAACAGAGTTACAATTTAGGATACAGCTTCCTTGCTTCCTCTTTTAATAGCCTGTAGCAAAAAAACTTAGAAAATTGTTTTTCCAACAAAATAAATAGAGTCAAAGTGCAAGATTTAAACTCTCATAACTTCGAAATTTTTATAGATATATTTTTATAACATTTTTTCATGTTCCTGGTATCTTACCCTATATGGAATTTTTCTTTGGGGCGCGAGTTTTGCAATTTTGCAAATAACTTGTTTCAATTTGATATTTTCCACTAAAAACTAAAGTAAAAATTTAAATTTAGTAAAAGTACAAAAATTTTGTCAATAAAAGCCACAAATAACATTAAACAGTTACAATTTAGATACAGCTTCCTTGTTTCCTCTTCTAATAGCCTGTAGCAAAAAAATTGGAAAATTATTTTTCCAATAGAAATAGAGTCTTAGTGCAAAATTTAAACTCTCATAATTTCGGAATTTTTAGAGATTAAAAAAAAATTCTTGTTGTCTAGGACACCGCCCGATGACACAGTGTCACGGCTGTGCGCGATTTTTTGAACAGCCTGTATAGTTCAATAAATTATTTTGATTTGTTGTCATTTTTTCTCTAGCTGTCAGGATAAAAATTACGAAAACCGAAAGCGAGATTAGTTGTATATAAGGCACGTTTTACATTTTTGTCAGTCGAATGACAAATCGTCCAAAATTCTATCTCCGCAATTGTACACTCATAGAACCATAAATTAAACTTATTAATTATTATATTTCAATTTATATTATATTTCAGCTTATTTATATAAAAATATAAATTTATATTTATTCTTGAAGTATGTTTTACATAGATCGTCGGGAACACCTAATGAATATTTCTTTTATCTCATTTTGAGTATTATAAAATCAATAATTAAAATTATAAAATACAAGATTATAAAACTTATAAGACTTATAAAACTTTAAAGATGTAACTTTTTATTTAATTTATTTATTGGTAAAGAGTGTCGTTAAAACATAAAAAAATATTTTCCAAATTTCCGGGTATTCAACAAAGAATTATTTTAAACAGAAAATAGAAAAAAATGTGCAAAGTAAGCAGAAAGTAAAGAATTCTTTATTTCTACCGTCAAAAAGCTATTTGCATATTGAGCAGGTGTTTAAATTACCACAATAAATTTTTATCCGAATTAACCTCATTTTGATAATATTTCTCACTTTTAAATTATAATGAGATTCCGATAAAAAATTGGTAGCAGATAAAATGTTTTTCGTTTAAATTTTATGTAAATAGTGTATAGAAAATCTCATATAATATAAAAAATTTAACTCAGAATTAAATTAACTCGACCTAACTTGGCATTTACTTTAGACAGGAATCCCTCAGTTATTTTTAAGCAAGATAATTATATTAAATTGTTTCAGATACAAAACTGAATTTAAAAGTATCTAAAAACAGTCAAAACTTTCGAACTTAAATTTCACTTTGATCAAAAATTGACAATAAATAAATTTTTAGACATTTTATTCTTATTTGAAAAATAAAAACCAGTTTAGCAATTTGGTACAATTTAGTGCACGAAATAAATAAGATTCCAATATGAAATTTTTATTTTGATTTTTTGGTTTATTTGATGAAATGTCTTGTTCTACGTTATAAAAGCATAGATATTAATCGGACACGAATGCAGACGCTGCATTTTAAAAACATAATAAATAGATATAAAGTAAACTGACTAAAAGTAAAAATAATTGTTAAAAGTTAAAAATAAAGTTTACTTAAAAAATACTCCTAATAAAAATACCTAATTTTAATAAACTTAACTTAACTAACAAATATAAAAATTAAAGAAAAATATAAAAGGATCGATATCCTCACTTTGAAAGTATCCTTTACTTCTCGGTTGATGCGATTTGTTTCTATTTGTGTAAACGAAAATTGGTGTATTAATTTAATTAATATATAATTAAATAGTCACAATTATACAAAAATAAAGAAAGTAAAACAAGAATATTCATTCAGGATTATTATAATATTAAAACGAAAAAAGTGTTCTACTAAATTTCCACTCCGTATAATTATATACTCGTACAATCACATAAAAATATAGAAATTTCAATTCCCAAATGCTAAGAAATTGGAATCAATTAACAGATTATACTCTTCTAAACCCTCAAGATCTAATATGGAATCAGCATGTCGTAACTACAAAGCAAAAATCTGTTATCTCATCATCAGTACCGAAAAAATTAGCATCTCTTACGCATTCAAATTCAAATTAATTACATAATATGTAACGTTTCGAACAATAAGCCCGCTTAATCCATTTATGCTCAAGAACTATCAAAAATCATTTTCCAACAACCACTAGAAAAGTCAAGAGTTTTTCGTGACTATTGATTCAAGTACCGATTCCACAAACATTGCATACTCTATTAATAAATCAACGAGCACCTGAGCAATGAATAGGCACACGCCATGGTAATTGAGAGGTCACTCAAGAAAGTGCATTGTGTTATTGATCATGCAAACTAATTATGCACACAGCGTCACTTGTTACACAATTGAATTGAATAACAAGTTAAAAAAAACTAAATGGTACGATTTAGATGCGTTGAAAGGAATCTAGGTACCACCTGGTGGCCCATTTCAGACACGTCGGGCAGTTTTATGGGTTTTTTCCATAAAAGGTTAAATTTTGAACCCTTTTGTCAGATATGGCAATTTTACGCCGTTTTGACTGCAGGAATGCCGATGGTATGGCAAAAACGGGGGACCATTTCATTGACTGTGACGGTTCATTACCTCCGTCATTGCAAATTTATTCGGATTTACTTTTTCAGCAGAAGCTGTAATTTTTTCACATGATTTTGTTTGATCAATATTTTCTCCTCTACTTCCTGACAAAATGCGCGTTTTTTCTCACCTGTGAGAAATCAGGACGGCGTGAAAGTCGTATTGTATCGATATGATTTGTAATGCACTTTTTCCAAGGAAGTTACATATTTTTTCCGGCGTTACATTGATAATTAAAGATAAACACTGAAAGTGAACCTGACTGTATTGTCTTAATTAATTAATAACAAAAGATTGATTTGTACAGTAGCTAGACTCCATTAATAATTTAAAGAAAGTTTCCAATTAGACGACCTTGTAGCAACTCAATAAACAATCACGTGAACTTATAAACACGGGTGTTCTACAATCCGATACCCATGTAAGTCGTGGCTTTTTCCCAAGAAGAACATCGCTGGAAATCTTGAGAAAACTCACATAGTTTATTAATTAAAATTATTTATTTCCATCCACACGTGTGTAAAAAGTAAAAATTGTGAAATTATACAAGATGTTACTTATCATTTTCAAAGGGGAAATGTTAATTATATAAATTAATCGAAGACGACTTTATTTCATACATCCGAAGAAAGCTTCACTTTCATTGGAAAGTCTGGACAAGTTGACAAATTAAAATTTATTTATTCATCATAATTACTGCAGGCAACGAAAGATCGTGACGATTTAATTGATTTGGAAAAAACTAACTTCAAAAAACATTTTGTGAGAGGTAAAATACCCTACTTTAATTTGGATAGCTTTATTTGAAAACAAACTATTCCAAACTATTCCATTTGATTTTTGTAATGTTTTTATCTTAAAAATACTCCTTCTTTTTAGAAAAATACTAATGTTTGAGTTGGCAATATTGATTTTATTTTGAAGGTACCTAGATCTTGTTTCATTATACAGGGTCCGCCAGAACTCGCGACCCAGAGAAAATTTTCAAGTAAGGTAAGATACCAGGAACATGGAAAAAATGTTTAAAAAATTCTATCTGTCAAAAAATTTTGACTTTTATTTTTTGACATTTGACATTTTTTAAAATCTATTTAATGATACTGATGATCTTGTATATGTTTTTTTACAATTATTTAGTAAAGGGACAAAAATTTTGCCCATAAAAGCCACAATAACATTGAACAGAGTTACAATTTAGGATACAGCTTCCTTGTTTCCTCTTTTAATAGCCTACTGCAAAAAAAACTTGGAAAATTATTTTTCCAACAGAAATAAATAGTCAAAGTGCAAACTTTAAACCCTCATAACTTCGAAAATTTTATAGATAAAATTTTTTTAACATTTTTTCCATGTTCCTGGTATCTTACCTTATATGACATTTTCCTCTGGGGCGCGAGTTCTGGCTCACCCTGTAGATATACTATAATAATATTTGTAAGCAACACCAAGTCCGGTTGCAGTGTTGCAAAAAGCCGAATTCCCTTAATTGTTTTGCCAACTCAAACAGAAACAGCCAAAGTTCATCATCCTGTACTTAGCCAAGATTTTTAACAAATAAACAAAATCAATTTTTCTTCATTAATGATGATGAGTACTAACAAAAATTTTTTGCAACACTATTACCTTATATTGTTTCTATGGTGCATTTAAGCTTACCTCTTATGTTAAAATACGCTTCATCTATAACAAAAAACGTCTATAAAATACGCTGATGGATATTTTTTGTCAATTTTGAAATTATAATAATTTGTGAATTTGATAAAATTTCTGATTCAATAATAGTGTTGCATAAAATCATGAAGACAACACGAGTTTTATACTTTAAAAATCTCAGTCTATTAAATTCTCGATTTTTAAACTGTCTATTAAACTCTAGTTGTCTCTAGCTATAAAACCTCAGGCATTCGTTAATTTATCTCTAAAAAAAATAAACAAATAAACCGCGAACTGAAAGTCAAAAAAACTTTTAATGTTTATAAACAATTTCTTTTAAATGAAACCCAAATTTTTAATAGTTTAGAAGTTTACAAAGAAATCATATTAGGTTGCCATTTGAAAAATTACCATTTTTGGGTGGCAAATTTGAATAATTAATTTAAATTAAGATAAATTCTGAATGCTCTTAAGCATTAAGCTATTAATTAACTGTAATCCAATTGGAAAAAAATTAACGGTTTCACCAGAAAAAAATAATTAACACTTTTGTAAAAAACGAATGGAAAAGTAGAGAATTTTTAAAATTGCCTTTAATACACACTAATGTAATCCATTCAATTTAAATATCAAAAAAACATGATAACCTACTTTAGTAAAGTAAGGACTTTCGCAATTCTCATTTGGCCCATAGATGCTTATCATAAATGACTTTAATTTGCGAATAATGCGAATTAAAGTAACAAACAATTTGACCAACTTATAATAACGCAACAGTGTGGGATTTTAGAACAAAATTATTTCGTTACGAAAAAATCATTACAATTTACTATGACTAGTATGACTATTTAGTGATCTAAAATCGGAATACATTCAAAATGTTAAGATTGAAATAAGAATCTTTTGTCCTTTACGTCCTTGACCACTACCCTTTTTTCACCCATTGACGCTTTTCCAAGGAATCACAGCGTGAAGTCTACGCTTGAAAACTAACATCAGAATCGCCATCTTATTATGGCATCAGTCTCCGTTTGCCATCTGTTGTCTCCATAGTGTACGGAGTCACTCACCCTTGTCCTTGTCCTTCCTGCAAAAAGCACCACTTTATCAACAGTTAATTGCGATCATCAGCGATTCGTCTATAACAACTTTATTGATATTTTAATGGATAAATCGATCAATTACCTGCAAGAAACGAGCAAAATGATACCGTTTAATAGCCAATGCGTACTCTTTTCTCACAATGTTGAGCTAAACGCCGGCGATAAATCCCTATAATTCCGATATAATTTGATATAAAGGCGTGTTGACAAGTTAACGAGGTCTCGGGAAGAGGAAAAGTATTATCTTTTTCAGTTGTAGATGTGCTGAAATATGCGTGAAAATTTCGTAAAGCCAGGGCCGTAACCAGGGTTTTTTTTCGGGGGGAGGGTGGGGGGTTCTTGTTGGTCCATGAAAATGAAATTAAAAAGCAAAAATCTCTAAGTACACGTTTTTATTTTAAATTGAAATAAGAGATCCATAAAAAAATACAAATTAACTCACAAAAGTAATAGAAAATAAAATAAATTTTAATACTTTTTATTGTTACAAATTTAAACAGGAGATGAATATTCATTTTTAAAACAAAAATTTTCTATGAACATACAGGGTGAATATAAAGTATGGAACCAAGCGGTTTTATTTTTAATCATTTGCCTCCAGAAAATAATAATTAATATAAATTAGAGTAATATAAAAAATGTGATCGTAATTTCAGAACGAAATTTTGTTTTGTTTTTGAGTTATGCGATTTTTTTTTGTCAAAATTGCAATTTATGTGAAAAAAATTTTTTGAAAAAATTAAATATAAAGTAGATAGTTGTAATCCTTAGAGTATAGCTTTTATGAGAAAAATGATTGTATAGTGGGTTGCCATTTCGAAAAATTTTATTCTTGTTAAATCATCACATTTTTATTGTACTTTATCACTCATCAATTGGTTTTTAAAAAAAATAAATACCTAGTTTAAGCAAAAAACGTTTGGTTCCATACTTTTTATTCACTTGGTATATCGAAAAATGCTTCGCAAGGGGTGCGTCTTTTAATAGTTTTTTTTTCAATATTTCCAAATTCATTTTAGAAAAAAATTCAAATTTTGCTACAGATGATAATTTTTATACACCTAAACAAGTACAAAAATGAAATGTTAAAATTTTTAATTAGGGGCTTCCTAAACTAGATGGGATTAGGGTAAAAATTTATTGTAACTATTTTGCCTGTGGTTTCTTGCAACTTTCAGCAACAAAATTTCATAGTTTTTCATAAAAAAAGGTCTTTTGTGTTTTTCCGATACAATTTACGGATTTTTAGTAATAATCGGTTTAAAAATTTATGTTACAGACCATAAAGGGCATAAATATTAAAAATTAATTAATTTGTTTTACCGTTTAGGACGCCCCTGATTTTCTTATTTTGGTATTTGTTTAGGTGTACATATAAAGGGATCAAATTTTATCTATTCTGAAATATTAGGAAAAACCCTTTAAAAAACGTACCTTTTTTGTGTGTAGATCCCTTTCATAGCATTTTTCGAAACACATTTGTCTTAAAATTAAATATTCTATCAACTCTTTAAATTTGTACCTAACAATAAAAATGAAACACTGTATAATTAACACATGAAAAATTAATTCACAAGAATTTAAAATTAACTCACTAAAATAACAAAAAAAAACTAAATTTTTAACACTTATAACATTATATAACAAAGTGCTCAGCATTTCGTGGGGGGTTTGAACCCCCTTGTGTACGGCCCTGCGTAAAGCACTGACCTGCAAAAATGTCCAGCCATCTGTCCGGTCCAACAAAGCCCGAACGGTATATCAAACAATACTTTAGCAATAATTGCTTATCTGAGAGTTCGTTTTTCGCATTTGTTGCCATATGGCGTCAAGATATCGTCCCATAGGCCGATCTGGCCAAGATCATTAATCCGCAGCTCGTAAATCTTGTTATTGCAGACCGTTAAAAGTACCATGAAATATTGAACATGTGTTTTTTTATACAAACATTCCTATATTTGCCATATGCCGGAACGTGCACCAAACAAACGTGACGCCTCTAAGATTTTACCCATGTTACGTCGCATCACCATTGTTCAAATTGCATTCAATGCAAACGAAAGTGTTTTCCTGTGAATATGTCACACGTTAAAGTTTTAAATTCGGACCAAGGAAGTGAACAATGCCCAAAGAGGAAAGCAGTCAATGGGGACCCACTTTGATTAATTAGCACGGAAATTTATTATTGCTTCATTATTATTTTATAGGCCGGCGTTGAAAGTGGAAAAATTGAGATCAATAAGACGAGCATTGTTGTTTAGAAAGATTTAGAAACTGAAATAAATGTCAAAACTCATGGCTTTTGATTCATTATAATCGAAATTATAATAAATCAAGAGATAAAACACTAATTGCAGCTGCTTAATTAATTATTAAAATTAAATTCAAATGAGACGTAACGGTTTTAATAAATTACAAATTGATTCACTATATTTTAAAATTAGATCTATTGATTGAGCATTTTAGAAAAACATTATTATTGGCAAAGAAACACAACTATTTTAAAACTAATGGTTTCTAATTGTGAAAAATAATCATTTCGGTTAACTGAAAGTTTTTTAAATATTTTTCTGAGAGACAAACTTTATTTAATGTTTATTTTAACAAAGACGCTGAAAAATAATCAAAAATCATGAGATCTTTTGCCATCAATATTTTACAAAATTTTCTGAATTTTTAGGAAACAAAAATTTTCAATAATAATAACAATACAAAGATGCGGAGGCGAAGTCTAGCTTGAAGCTATTCAACTTAATCTCAAAAGAAAATTAATAGAAAAGTTTAACATAAAAATAAAAATAATTACTATAAACAATATAAAATTTAAATAAAAATAAATTCGGAAGTTACTTAATAACTAAAAGTAAAGAAAGAAATCATTGCCAGTCTCTAAAAACAAAAAGAAAAAACAAGAAAGAATTCTTAAAGAAGAAAAGAAAAAAAAAACAAAAATTGAACAAAAATAAATTCTTTTGCATTTATTTTTAACATCAGTTATCCAACTTAGATGAACAAAGTTAATTATTCCAAAGCAAGTTCTTAATTTGACTCTTGAACGTAAACACTGAATTTCCAGAATTAAAGATTTCGATGTATTTGTTATACAGTGCGCCAGAACTCGCGCCCCAGAGAAAAATGCCATATAAGGTAAGATACCAGGAACATGGAAAAAATTTTACAAAAATTTTATCTATAAAAATTTCGAAGTTATGAGAGTTTAAAGTTTGCACTTTGACACTATTTATTTCTGTTAGAGTAATAACTTTCCAAGTTTTTTTTGCTACACGCTATTAGAAGGGAAAACAAGTAAGTTGTATCCTAAATTGTAACTCCGTTCAATGTTATTTCTGGCTTTTATTGGCAAAATTTTTGTACCTTTATTAAATAATTGTAAAAAAACAATATGTCAAATGTCAAAAAATAAATGTCAAAATTTTTTGACAGATAGAATTTTTTAAACATTTTTTCCATGTTCCTGATATCTTACCTTACTTGAAATTTTTCTCTGGGGCGCGAGTTCAGGCCCACCCTGTATGTTTGAATTACGGTATAAGTGAATGATCTTTGATACAATGCGGTACGAAACTGTGGCATCGACAATTATTTAAATTACGAAGGTTGGTTTTGACGGTAAGAATGCTTTTTCTAGAATGAAATTCTAACTGTACACAAACTAGGTATAAGTACTATATGTCAAATTCAGGACAAATGATAGGTAAAAAGAAAACTTGCCGACTTTCCTCTAAAATAAAAATTTTCTCCATTGAAGCTCTAAAAAATGTGCCATTATCGTCGTATTTTTTGTAATAAATTTCTCTAATATTGTTGAATTTTACTTTCACAATATGGGTATAAAAACTCAATTAAGAGATTCTATTAGGTAAAAAAAAAAGAAAAGTTGTTGTCATTATTTTCTACATATAGCAAAGAAAAAAGTAACAATCCATCCAAGTTTATTAGAATGTTAAAGATGAATTACTGGTAATAAAAAATTACCTGCAACAGCAGCAAACTTATCAAATAGCTTGACACCACATTTGCATGTAAATAAATATCTTCATGTTGGCAAGCAAACAAATTGTTCAACTGTTCACACATCCCGAGTAGTACTTTACAATCATTGATAAATATATTTCAAGTTTGTTTACAATTTATTATTCTATCATCATATTTCTTGGTTGAGAGCCCACCTAGTAGAGAATTTCAAAATCACTTTAAAAAATCAGGTTAGAGTAGAATCCGATTTGCTTTCTCCCTAAACAGAGTGAAAAAAATCATGAATAATAAAACTGTGACCAAAGAACTCATAAGAATTTAACAGAAGCAAAGTAAAGTTTATTAGTCTGCTAATGCTCAAGTCACTTTTATGTCTCTATTAGAAATTGTTAATTTATGAGTAATAAATTAAGAAATGAAGTGCATCGAAAAATTAACGTTCTCTAGAGTTTAAGAGTCCGGATTACCCGGATTCGGTCTGGTGTTTATCAAGTTGTTAATTAAATTTTTCTTTACACACACGTAGCGGAAAAATGTGATTTATAAAGTTTGAGCAACAAAACTTTTACTGTATTGTAATACAAAATTCCTGGCATTACATCGTCAAATCTGATTTCGACATGACTTGTGTAATTATTATCATTTAGGAAAATACACTAGACTACAAAGCCACTCTTTCGGTACTTATATAAGACATTTCTCATCAACAGTGCTAAATAATTGTAACGTTACAATATTTGATAGTCAGATCAGTTTCATGGGAACTCTTTCTCCAATGCTATTATCTTGTCAAATTCGTTTCACCTCAACCTCTTTCCGCTTCCATCAATCACCCAAATTCCTGTAAAAATTAATTAATTGTTTATAAATTAGGGTTTTGCTCTGCTTTGATTTCAGATACAATGGTTGTGAGAACGGATCACTTATGGAGGTAGCTGGTTTCTTGTTCTTGATGCTACCATGCCTGGTATACACGATGGGAGGAATGACGGATGTTAGTCTAAGGATCACCAGGCAGAACAAAGGGGACGTCTTCACCCCAGAAGGTACAAAATGGAAGAGTTTATGTTTCTTTTAGCACTGAAGATATATACTATATGTTTCGATTAAACCCCACATTAGAAGTACATATTAGGAGTTCTAACAATTATACCGAGTGCGGCATCCCTTACGCCCAGAAAGAAAATCCCCACTTCTAATTAAATAAAATTGTTGAATTTTTTCACACTTACCTGGGCATTAGTAAGGTACATTCTCTAATTTTTTGGTAATTTTTCATTTACAAACAAAGCCAAAAAAAATAAAAGGTAATTTTCTCCCATAAAGTTTAATTCTAATTTTTATACTAACTTTCGCAGATTCACTTAGAACAATTGTTTACAAAATCAGAAAAAAAATACCAATTAGATTTTGAATTAAACGCAATTTTCCATCTTAACTTTGAAAATCATTTTTATTTATGACCTGCTTCTTGTGCCATCGTAAATTTAGGTGACAATGGGGAACTGCAATTGGGGTAAGATTCCAAGGTTTACAACAAAAAGAGCGGTCGGCTACCAGTAAATAATTCTTTTGTTGGCAAATTATACCATTTTGTCATAAATCACGGGTCTGGTTTGTGTTTAAATAAGAAAAAACGATTATTTGGATAACCAAGTCAAAATTTGAAATTGTGATATCAAAGTTTGATGCGCTAACAGGTACAGAATCATTTAGTGTAGATAGGTAGGATATAGGTAAATTAACAGAAAGTATTCATAAAACACACAAAACTATTACGGACTCATTTATTATCAAAAAAAATTAGAAAAATTCTCAAATTATAACCTATCAATAATTAGTTAGGTATATGAAATATCGCCAGTTTCAAATAATAATTAGAAGTAACCGATGCCGCACCCGGTATTTAGGTATTTAAAATTAGGTTAGGTCCTGCTCAATAAAAATATTTACAAGATGGCGGCACTTCCACTTATACCGGAAGTGAGTATCATCGTCGTTGTTTTAAATAGAAAGCTGTTTTTTATTGTGTTTTTGGATTATTCAAGTGATTTGGCGAGAGTTTTCATCAGCCTTCCCTATATCTAAGTTTAACCTTTTACGAAATACTAAGACTTTTTGAATTTTTTTGAATTCAAAAAAATAGATGATTCCAAAAATAGATAACTTTACCATTGTTTGTTATTTTATAAATGATATTTGAGCATATGAAATAGAAAGGTTAGATCTATCTTTTGGTGCAAAAATAATTACCAAATCTCCAAAATTTAACATTACGTTTGGGAAACTTTAATTCCTTTAACTCAATTTTTGTAAATAAAACGCCCAAATTTTTTCTTTATTAAATGGAGGAGAATTTAATGCTTCGATCTGTATTTATTTCCTTTATTATTGTTTATTAGTTTTCAAGTTATAGTAACTTTTTTTATATTGCGAGAAATTCATTAGCCAAAGCTAGTTTAGCATAGCTTAGTTAATTAGTTCTCAAATAACACACTAAAGAAAAGATATGACCTTTCTCTTTCATATGCCCAACCATGATTTCAAAAAAAAAATTAAAAATGGTAGTGTCATCGATTTTTGAATGGAAATCCAAAAAAACTCAAAAAGTCCAAATATTTCGAAAACGGTTATACTTAGAAGCTGATGAAAACTCTCGTAAAATCACTTGAGTAATACAAAAATGCAATAAAAGGCATAGCTTTCTATTTAAAATAACAAAATTTTAGACAAATGTCATAATTAGAACTCCCAATACTTCTAATGTGGGGTTTAGCGGAAACAGCCTGTATATTTTTAAGAAATCAACTCAAAAAAAACTTATTAATAATAAAAAATCGCAACAAAGACACAAAAATTAATAATGACAAGTTGTTATAATTATTTCAGTTTAAAGACATCTTTATCGTAACATCAATAAATTTGAGAAGAACCAATGTTTAAAATCCATAGTTCACTTTTATTTACCCAGTACACAAAAGCAATATAATTTTTTGTTTTGTATTCGTTAGTTTAACGGGTTTCTTGTTACTAAAACGTATAAAATTTGGAGTTTCAAAAGACTCAAAAATAAAAACTTAAGTATTTCAATTGTATGTGAAAATAAAATTAAAACTATAATATTAAAATAACTCTTAACATTTCAAAATACATGTAAAATTATAATACAGGCCCCAAAGAAAAATTTCAAGTGAGATAAGATACCAGGAACATGGAAAAAATGTTTAAAAAATTCTATCCGTCAAAAAATTTTGACAATTATTTTTTGACATTCGACATTTTTTTATGTCTATTTAATGATACTGATGATCTTGTATATGTTTTTTTACAATTATTTAGTAAAGGTACCAAAATTTTCCATAAAAGCGACAAATAACATTGAACAGAGTTACAATTTAGGATAGAGCGTCCTTGTTACCTCTTATAATAGTCTGTAGCAACAAAATTTGGAAAATTATTTTTCCAACAGAAATAAATAGAAACAAAGTGCGAAGTTTAAACTCTCATAACTTCGAAATTTTGGTAGATAAATTTTTTTTACCATTTTTCCATGTTCCTGGTATCTTACTTTATATGGCATTTTTTTCTGGAGCGCAAGTTCTGGCGCTCCCAGTATGTTTAACCCTTCAAAACCTACATATTTTTGTTGAGCAATATGGAACGCTGTTTATAATATTTTTTGTGATAAAAAAATCTTATAGAAAATCGAAATCTAAAAAAATAAAACAAAAAGTTTATCTTGGTCAGTTTCTATTCGAAAAGTTGCATTCAAAAGTACTGAAGCAAATTTTAATAACTAAAACAACACGAGCAATTATTATAGTTACACATGTATCTCAAGAAATAAATAGTTTCAAGCTCTAAAAAACACAAATTATTCTCTTGTTGTAGATGTGAAATCATGCACTCCCGAAACTTGCGTGGGTTTGAGCAGTGGCACAGCTTCAGCCCCTTCATACAGCAACCCATGCACCTGCCAATGTCACCCTCATTTACCCGCTTTCAGAGAAGACCTACGAATATGCGTGGACGATATTCATGGTAAGTTTTGCACAATGCCTCGGCATAATTATGCGCTAGACTTTACGATACATAATAACGAATTGCAATTAGGATTCATTTAATTCAGTTATTTCTTTAGAGAAAATTCATTTATACAGAACGACCGTTGCAAGAGAAGAATGCACCAGACTAACGAGAGAAATAATTGTTTAATGGGCGTATTTTACGGCCTGTAGTTTAGACAATCCGTGGGGAATTCAAACAGTTTTTGTGACATAGCGGCCGCACCTAGTGCGAAAATTTTTCCAGTGACTGGGGAATTATTAAACTTTTACAACAGTTATCCACTGTAAACAAAAAATATCATAATTATGAACTATTTGAAGAGATATAAAAAAGCTTTCTCGAGATATAAATTCACGCTCCTCTAACAACGCGATATATTTTTTAAAATTCAAGATATCCTCTCCAGATTTGTGACGGTTATTGTCATATCATCTGCAACAAATCCGGAATGGTAAAGCTCCAAAGATGCATAAAAACGCAGGAAGTGTCGGATTGAGAATCTGTGGAATTTGGATTGATGGTGATGTTCTAATTCTTGTAAACCGTACGAAACGTGTTTGAATGTCGGATTTCATATCCTTCCAATTATTATATTCTGTCGCAATCCGCTTGGCACAAGACATCATTAAGTCTGACTGATTGTTGGTAAAAGTTTGCAAAACGTGTTGAAACTTCAAAGCCACGTCAATTGTCATAAAATTTGATTAAAAATCTTGGAGTTGAATGTATCATATTTTATTAAAATTTTTTAAACGCTTTCTTTATTCTTGGGTAGACATATATCAAAAGTCCCCGAAGGTGAGGGGCGAGCTCGAGGAGGGGGAGGAGGCTAAAGGTGTCTTTTTTTGTTTTTTTGCTTATATCTCGGAAATTATTACTCCTAACGGTTTTTGCCTGCTTCTTAAAATTAAAGCCTACAAAATTTCCTATAAAAATGATCGTTTGCATTTTTGCTGTAGGACTAACTGTAAACGAGTTATAGGGCTGACAAAAAACATCATTTAAAAAAAAATGTGCTTTAACCGCATTTAAAACGGAATTAATCTTGTGATTTGAAAAAACTCAAAGCAAATTGAATTTATTGGGTGCAACATTTCATTAGAAAGTCTTCCGAGTCGTCCTCATATGCTGCATCTTCGTCTTCAACTTAAACATTGAAAACCTAATTACAGTCTTGTTCAGTACAATATTAATACATAGATGATTTAATATCGATGATTTGAATAAAGCTTACAGTAAATTGAATGTATTGGATCCAACAGTTTATTAGAGGTGCCACGAGGGTCTATCAAGTCTTCCGAGTCATCCTTATATGCTGAACTAGCATTTGCTTGCGACTTTGTCCACGTGTATTTCTGATATAAAATGGGAAAAAGCCCGTTCACAAAACCATTCCATAGGCTTAGGTACTCTATAATGCTAGATATATAATTACCTATGTTATGTATAGGACTCAGTTATAGTAGTCTCGTTCTTCGCATGGGCTATGTTTATGAATAAATATTAAATGTTGATTTTCATAAAGTGTCGTCTCAGTGTACTTCTGCACTCTCAAAATTCGAAATTTCATGTTTCTAATTTTGTTTTTAAGCGTTTAAACTCTAATTTATTTCATTAAAATTTGAAAAGTGCACTTCTATGCTTTCTAAGGATCATATTTTCTAAATATAATGTTTTTATATCCCTTTAAATGTGTACACCGTTTTATTCTCTTAAAAACTAATTTTAGAAAAATCTGATTTTAGTGCCCCTTTACACCTCTAAAGAATTTTATGTTTATTTCTTTGTTTAAACATTTGCACCCCATTTAACCCCCTTACAGATTGATTCTCTCTTTCATCCAAAATTTTTATTTATATCTACGTTTAAATGTTTACACCCGAGTCACCTTTCAGGCAGACCAGCTTACTTGGAGAACGCTCTACACATATAAATACTTACCACATACTAATGAAATGTGTTTCAAAGGATTTTTAATGCAATTTTATGTAGACTCCAAACTTGAGAAGCCTACGGTTAGTCCTACGACAAAAATGAATAGGACCATTTTTGTAGGAAATTTTGATGCAGAAATAGACTTCTACAGAAAATTCTGCACAAATTACATAAACGATGAGTTTGTATTTATGACCCTCGTGACTCCCCCCTTCCTTTAATGAAGTATTGGACCCAATAAATTCAATTTACTGTCAGTTTTTTCAAATCACAAGATTAATTCTGTTTTAAATGCGGATAAAGCACATTTTTTTAAATGATGTTTCTTGTCTGCCCTATAACTCGCTTACGGTTAGTCCTACAACAAAAATTCAAAGGACCATTTTTGTAGGAAATTTTGTAAGCTTCAATTTTGATAAGAAGATAAAAACCAATAGGAGTGATAATTTCCGAGATATAAGCAACAAATCAAAAAAAGACACCTTTAACCCCCTCCCCCTCCTCGAGCTCGCCCCCCACCATCGGAGACTTTTGATATACCAGGTGAATAAAAAGTATGGAACCAAACGTTTTTTCCTTAAACTATTTATTTTTTGAAAAAACTAATTGATGAGTGATAAAGTACTATAAAAATGTGATGATTTAACAAGAATAAAATTTTTCGAAATTTCCTTTTGTTTTTGAGTTCTACAAAAAAAATAATTTTTTTGAATGGCAACCCACTATAAAATCATTTTTCTCATAAAAGCTATACTCTAAGGATTACAACTATCTGCTTTATATTTATTTTTTTCAAAAAAAATTTTTCACATAAATTGCAATTTTGACAAAAAAAAATCGCATAACTCAAAAACAAAACAAAATTGCGTTCGGAAAATACGATCACATTTTTTATATTACTTTAATTTATATTAATTATTATTTTCTGGAGGCAAATGATTAAAAATAAAACCGCTTGGTTCCATACTTTATATTGACCCTGTATGTCTACCCAAGTGTAAAGAAAGCGTTTAAAAAAATTCCAACTCTCTAGGATTTTTTTCCACCGATTTGTGTAATTTGACTAATCAAATAAATGGTCCAAATGTGTGTATAAGTTTTCGAGGTATTTTTCCCATGGTTGTTAAAAAATCTCCCCAAGTTGGTATGCTGCTGTTTCAAAGGACAAATCCATTCCCATGTCCTTTTTTGCCCGTTCATCTGTGTAATAGCCACTAGTTAGTTTCTTGTGGTTGGTTATAAAATGTCCTCGATGTGAAAAATGATCGCATATGTCTTCACGTCTATTCGGAAGCAGTTACACGGTTTGTGTTTGCAGACGCGACCAAACGATGAGAATCGTAAATATGCAAGTTACCCATCTGTTGGAGTTGTAAGTGATTAGTCGCGGTTCATTACGACTGTTAAGGTTGTGACAACCTGTTCAATAAAAATACTGATAATTTCATTATACGTCGATTCCGTTAAACGGCAGCATTATGACGATCTTGTCCCAGAGGTTATCACAATTGCTGACAACTTTGAAGAGGTAATTTGTTTGCAATGTGTGGGCCGGCAAAACCGGAAGACATTCCTGGAGATTTTTGCCACTCTCCTCAAATAGAAAAAGCTTGCTTGAAGTCAAAATTATTGGACACAAAAGTCATTTCGGTAACTCACTGAAATATAATATCAGGAAGAAGAGACACTCTCACACTTCACACTTAAGCGACAATACTAACTACCTGCCATTAAAACTAAAGATAAGTTTCCTTAATAAAAGTCGTTTCATAGACAGAACCATCCATCGAATCAATTAACCGAATCAGGAATACCAATAAAACTCACCACGTTAGTCCAACTGTAAATTCTGTAGCTTCTCAAGACAACACATTTGAATATAATGCCAATCGTGAGCGTACATAATTGAAACTAATTTTTCCGGAGCTTCTTAGTAATCATCTACTCTTCCGGTTCTGTGTGAAACAATATTCGTAGGGGATGAATAATAAGCCAACAGTTTTTGTAAGTATTGAACAAGTGCGTGACACGACGTTTTAATGGCATCCAACAACTTGAGAATACCACAAGAATATCCATTTTTAGAAGCTGTAAGATCGATTGAGATTGTGGTAACAAGGATTCGTAGAATTACAGACGTCACTGGACGGAAAATGGTCGAGCTTGACATGTTTTAATTTTTACAAAGAACGGAAGAAAAGCGGAAACCGTTGTGGCAATTATAGGGAATTTTTCCAGAAATAAATGTCTGTATTGATTAGTGTTTACTCAAAAAGCTTGTTATTTTAAGGTTTGTCTGCTATTTTTGTACCAAAGCTTCACTAGCAGTCTCCACAAACATGTTTTAAATGAAAACAAGTTAATACCTTAATGTCTAAATTCAAGATTATTGGAATACTAAAGTCATAAACTCTTTATGTGTTTTTTTATATTTTTGATTCTTTCACAATTTTTCCAGATGTAAATATACATAAATTTTTATTTGTTCAGTAGAGACACCTCAATTCGCGTTACCCTTGATAGCATCCATCATTGAATTTTGTTTTAATTAATTAATTAATTTATTGGTATTTATACAAATTGTCATTAGATAAGGTAATTTTTTTCTTCTCATCATTAAAGTCATCATCGTTAAAAAAGTTGTAATTTGTAAATTACATTTAAAAAGAGAATGCATTTCAACATTAACATTCTTGAAGGAAGAATTCCTTGAGAGATCTATTTAGATAACTCTCTGAGTACTATGAAAAAAACATTTATTTCTAAGGGATTAGAAGCGAAACGTCCAGAATAAGATTAGGTGCACACTTTTATCTAAAATTTTGTGATTCGCATCTTTAGATAATAATAAAATATTTAACAATAAAGGTAATAAATAACTTTCTTAACTGTTTTCTGCCTTCCTTACAATAATATCAAGTACATACATTGTGAGTCTTAGACGCATAAACTTAGGGAATGAAAGATTATGATCAATAATAAGTAAAAAAAAAAAACAAGTTAAACAACTCTTTTTTATTTTTGTCGAATATCAATAAAAATACCACTTAACTCCACCAAAATAAAGAAAATCGCATCACTTAGCTATTGACAAGCATGGCGTGGTGTCATCAGCGCAAATTATCTAAAATTTTAAAGTCTAATGGTGTTTTTAACACGATATATCTTGGTAACTAAGAAATTTTTATTAGAAATTTTTTTTCACTGTTAGTTAGTTATTTGGCATAACCTATCACACCCTGAATTATGCGTATAAGTTAACTAACCCTACAGGGGCTGATCCAGATATTAATTTTGGGGGGGAGCTTTCTAAAATTTTTTAAAATGATGAGTGTTAGGTGTAAGATGAAACCTTTACTTTGGTATATGTATACAATGAGCGGCAAAATTATGGAATAATCTTATTTATTAAAACTGAAAATGTTTTCTTTTGGCAAAAATGCTCGAAGTCAATTTTTTTTTAAGTACAAAATTTTCTACTTGATTTAAAATTGTATCTTTGTTTTTGTTTTATTGATGCTATTTCAATTTATGGATGATTTTTTTTTTAAACTTTATGTACTTAATGCATAATATTTTGGTGATGTCATTTCGACAACTAAAGGATTTATTGAATTCGCTAAAAAAAAATTGGGGATTTTCTTTTAAAAATTGTCGATGACGTCATTACTCAAAAACCAAAAAGTGTAAAATTTCAAATCAAGTTGAAAAGTAAAGGTAAAGTTCATTATTCAAACAGACACGAATTTAATTTAATTAGATACTTAAGATATGGCCCAGAAAAATTTACAATTGATGATTTCTTTTTAAATTAGTATGAGAAAAATCACAGGGGTTAACCGGTGCGTCATCTGACGTTTCTCCTCACCACGTTTACATCGCGATGACAAAACGTCAATTTTTTTGACGTTAGGTTCAATATCTACGAGTAAGAAGTTGTTTATTGATAAAAGTGTTGCTTTGTACGATTCTTTGCAAAGGCATTTAAAATTTAATGTAATAGATTGGAAATGACGTTCTACATGCAGTGTTTCCAATGTTTTTGGATGTCGTATCTAAAACTCGAAATTTTTAGTGTACATCAGTATAAAACCGATTTTCTAAAGAATAGTGGGTAAGTTGAGAAGAAAACGGATGCAAAATCGGTATTTCATAAAT